AGAGCATCCAGCGCTCTTTCATCAAGTTCGTCATGGTCAAGTTTATCTATAAAAATATATTAATTTCCAGCAACATAATAATCAGGTAAGAAATTTGCTAGTCAGATGAACAGAAGATTTTAACTGGAAAGAGATTTCCATGAACTAATGACATCAGGTTTTCCTTATGATAATTAAGATTCTACTTCACATCACTTGTTTTGCCAACCTTGTGCAGGGAAAATCCTTGAATTTGAGAGCAGTGGGCCATTTTCAGCCTACAGTTTTAGTCAATTTCAAAATGAAGGGAAATCATTATATGTAAAATTAAAAGAAAATTGGAACATGGAGGGGTCAATGATCCAGGATTATCCCTGTTGTGTGCATATGTTTCGGTGCATCACTTCAAAGAGATTAATACCATTGTGAATAACATGTTGTATTGCTTTGTCAATGTGAACAAACACTGCACAAATTTTTAAGCACTAGCTTCATGGAAGGTTTTGTATACTGATCTTGTGTGCTTTTATGATCTTTCAAACAACAGTCAGAAACGACATTTCCAACAGCCAAAATTGTACAATTTGAACACTTTTTCAGTTCCTGGAATTGGTTTCTGATATGGACAAACTGCAACTGGATAATTGGTTAACTGTTCCCACCCTAGTATTATTAATTATGTTAGTCAAGGTGTTTTTCTTTTTTAAAGCTTTCTCATTCACATACCTTGGCTACACATTTTCTGGAGTTCATCAGCAACTTTAACATTAATACCATAGTCTAAAAGTTTCTGATGATTTTTTGGGTTTTCATTTTTTGATTCATTGGTGTCCATTGTGTCTGCCAAAAGTTGTTCCTCTGCCGCTTGATCCATTTCTTCTATTCCATTTTGAGCCATCTGATTTCTGTCAACAAATGAAATGAAAGTATTGTACTGTTTGTTTGTAGTTAGCTATTACACGAAAATGTTACAATTTGGATACAACAGCATGTATGACTGGGTTGTTACCAACCATCTGTGGTCAGTCACAAGATCCATAGGCTAATTGGAGATTGTTACGAATGCAAAATTGCTCACTCTCCAAAATAATCTTTCTCATTTATAGAAAGCTAGACTTTTGTATGCAACATCCAACACTCAAAGAAAGCAAACTTCAAATCAGGAAAATATATTGAACATTAGTATACTTAGCCAAAAAACACACTTTCTTCATGAAAAAAAACCAGTCAAATTTATTAATTTAAATACAGGGTTTCATTCAGGATTTATGACATTTGTGTACATGGCCCCCTCCTTTCTGACAATTGGGGG